TGGGGGGCTGTGGTGGGGAGGGGCTCCCTCTGCAAGGACGATGGGCAGAGTCCTTCACAGTGGTGCCAAGGATTGCAGAACCAGGGAGTGTTCCAGAGTGATCAGGTTCCCCCTGGAATGGAGAAATCGCCATTTCCACAGCTTGACTCTGTCACCTGATGGCATGGACTAAATATTTGTGTCCCCCCCCATCTTACCCCCCCTTTCATATGTTGAAACCTAATGCCCAGTGTGATGGCATTAGGAGGTGGGGCCTTTGGGAGGTAACTTGGTCATGCGGGTGGGGTCCTCATTGACAGCATTAATGCCCTTATAAAAGGGACCCCAGAGAGCTCCCTTGACCCTGCCACTGAATAAGGACACAGCCAGTGTCAGCTGTGAACTAGGAGGCAGGTTCTCACCGGACACTGAATCTACCAGTGCCTTGATCTTGGACTTCCCAATCTCCGGAACTGTGAGAAATCAATGTCTGTGGTTTAAACCACCAAGTCTATGGTATCTTTGTTATAGAAGCTCAAATCGACGAAGACACTTTGTCACTTTGAAGCCTTGTCACTTCCCACCTAAATTATCTCAACAGCCTTTGATCAGCTCCCTGCTGTCCACCTGGACCCCTGCCATGCCCCCTCCCACCCCCGCATCCATCCTGGCAAATCATGACCCACCTCTGCCTGGTGCCTTTGCTGGCTGCTTGTCACCATAGGGGCCCTACTGAGGCATGAGGCTCCAGCCACCCCGTGGCCCCAAATCCCCTACTGGCCCCGAGCTCTCCACCTACAGGCTCTTGCTCAGGTCAGGTCTCACCCCCCACCCCCCTCACTGCATCCCAGCTTCTGGCCCTCTCTGGGGCTTGGCTGAAATGCCACCTGGCCCATGGCTCACAGGCTGCACCTCCTAGTTGGGACCCATGCCTCTCTGCACCTGGAGGCTCTATGTCCCTTACTGCTGTCCCGCCAGACCAGCCCACGTAGCACGGTGCAGGGGGAGCTCAAGTCAAGGCTAGTCCTTGTGTCTGGGAGAAGGTGCCACTTCCCCTCTGCCCAGCCCACCTCCACCAGCCCCCTTCCCAGTGCCCTCCTGGGAAAGAGCTGCCGACTGGTCAGTTGCTGGCTGGGCTGAGTGGCAACGTCCAGTTTGGGTCCCTGTTGTTCTTTGTGCTTCCTGCTCCTTCAGGGTGCACAGGCCTGGGCACATACTGGCAGCCACCTCTCTCCTCTCTCCTTCCGGCTCAGGGACAGCTGGGGGGCGGGCGGGCCAGCCCCTGACACAGGTCTGCTCACCGTACCTCTCTCCCCAGGCTGACTCATGTTGGCAGAGGCCTCGAGTGGAACTGGGTCCCTTCCTCTGAGGTTCCTTCGATTTCTGACCCACCAGCCACCCCTCCCAGAGGCAGACAATTGGCAGGACTTGGGCACATCTAGATCCTAGCTCATCTTGTCAAAAATGGCACCAAACTCGTCTCGGTTCCAATTACCTCTAATGTGGAATCCCAACACCGTGTCTACATCTATAATTGTCACCGGAGGGCTCTCTGTCCTGCCACGCAGGATGGCAATTCTGAGTTCTGAGATGTCCCTTGGTAAATTCAGACAGCCTTAAGCAGCATCTCTGGGTGGGTGCACCAGCACCATAGACAAGTCTGGGCTCCATTTTGCTCTTGCTGGTCCCCACTCCTGCTAATGTCTCTCCCCACTCAGCCCTGGCACTTCCCATCGGCTTTCACGGCTCAGTACACAGCCCTGACTCTTGGGGCCCGTTGAGCCAGGGGCCCAAGTGAAGGCCCTGTCTCCTCGCCCTCCCCACCACCTAGACAGCAGGGCCTGAGCTCTTCAGAGAACCCCTGGCACGAGCACGGGGCCCTGCGCTCAGAAAGCGTGCAGGCATGCAGGTGTGCGAGGTGTGCGAGGCGTGCGAGGGAACACGCCCCAGCAAAGATCCCTGCTGAGAATAAAGGAAAAGCAGGGATAAGGCTCCCTCAGAGGGAGTGGGGGTGCCATTGAGGACGTGAGAACCTACAGGAAGGCCAATGGCCAGGACTCGGCCAGGACGGTGAGACTCATGAAACCCAAGCAGCAGGGCTACCCAGAGCTTTCGGGAACATCACTGCATGATGGAGGGAAGGAAAGAGGGCGGGGGGGGGGCGTCAAGGTTGGAACCTGGGTCTCTGGCTCTCCAGCACCCCTGGGAAAAGAGGCCCACCTGGCAGGAGCCCTGCCCTACGGTCGTGTTCGGGTTCCATGCCTATAGGCGTTGGGGTAGCCAGTGCCAATCCCTGGCAGCTCTGAGCTTTGATGGCTGGACGCATCAGGGCCAGGTGACTTGAGGACATGAGAGTCCCAAGCATGACCCATTTGGGACAGCCTAGCACTGCTCGGGGTAGGCACAAAGATGACCTGGGGCCCAGGGGAGGGTCATCTGCAGAGGCTTGGCCAGTCTGGGGTGGATGGCAAGTCCCACACCCCAAGCACCTAATCCGGATCCAGTGGAGAGCTGACCTGGAAGGAACCGGGTCAGGTGAGGTCGTAAGAGTGGGGAATTATATTGATTTAACTATAAAAGAAGCACAGATACAAAGGCTCCTATCAAGCAGCTTGATTCCCACAGAATAGTGGGCTGTCTGCCCGAGCACACCTTGCTTCTGAAGTCACAGGTATGGGAGGGGCAGGGGAGGAGAGTACCTTGGGGCAGTGTCCCAAGCCTAACTCTGACCTTGGATGTGCTGACTGGGTGGCAGACTGTGGGGCCTTTGTGTGGCTGCACCACTTGGGTGTCTTGGGCTGGACAAGCTTTGAGGGACTCTGCCTGTCACAGCGCAGGAAGGAGGAGAGGCTCAGAGAGGCCCAGGGGCATCAATCTCCCTGCTCAGCCTCCGGAGGACAGCAGAGACTCAGGCAGAGTGGGATGGAGGCCAGAGCCTGCTGAGTGGGGAGTCTGGTGGACTCTGTGCCTCTGAAAATCTCTTCAGAGAAGGGAGGGGAAGAAATCAAGTCTTGGTTTAGGTATCCAGTGGGGACAGGCAAAGAAGAGTTCTGCGGAGATGCTGGGGTGATGCAGGGTCCCTGCCTAATGAGGCTGGTCCTGTGTGAGCCCCCCAACCCCCTGCATGTTCTCTACCCAGCTTTGGGCATTGGACTGTGACTGCCCTCCACAGCCCAAGCTGATTAATGGGGTGCGCTGGCAGGAAGGGTGGGGAGGACAGGGTTGGGGTATTCTCACCCCTTGCCACGGTCGCAGCTCCCACTGGGGGGACCCCATCTGCCCTTCTGCTCTCCCTAGGCTGGACAACATCCTTCCCTGCCCCCCACCCCTAGGGCCCAGTGCCAGTCTCTGGGGCCTCCGTCCCTGTTGTTCCCCTTTACCTGGCCTCCACTGCTCCTGTTAGCTATCCTACACTCAAACCCTCTCCTTGGGACTACCTGGGGATGAAGGGTGGGGAAGGGTCTATGCTGGGGGTCTAGGGTTCCAAATGGGAGGTACCATGCGGAAGTGGGCACGGAGAACGGCAAACCCCAGCCTCCACTACAGGGGCTGCTGGTCACCTCTCAGGGCCCCCTAACAGGTACCTTGTAAACCATGACCTCTGTGTGGGCAGAACTTCTGATTTTTTCAATCTTTTTTACAAGAGACCCTCAATTTTTCAGTATTATTCATTTTAAAACATTTTAAAAACACCAGAAGCCAAAGACAATTACCGTGAAGAGTTAGACTCGGCTGGAGGGTGGACAGCTGGTGCTCTGGGCTGGAGAAGGTGAGGCTTGGGGCGGGGGCTCCTGCACCCCTCTGCAGGACAAAGGTTTGAGTCCTCTGTAGGCCTGAGAAGCTCCCCAGCCAGGGCCTGAGGTTTTGGAGGGGAGCAGCTGTTATTTCAGGCAGGTCTGAACCTGCCCTGAGCCCGGTCAGTTTGCTGCTGTCCTGAGGGTCCAAGCCTGGGCGACACCACAGAAAATTTAAGAATAATGGTGCCTGTGGGTGGGGAGCTTGGGAAGGAGCAGGGCTGCGCCATTCCTGACTGGGGCTTGCAAGCAGGCTGAAAAGGGCCTGGACCTCTGCGAAGCCAAGAGCTCACCCTCACACCCAGCTAAGGCCCCTGGGGGTGGACGCAGACAGGTGTGGGGGAGGACTGCAGGTGGGCTCTCATTCCAACCACCTCACCTTGTCAGAGTCACTTCCCTTCCCTTCCCAGAGGCCGGCCCTCTGCATCATCCTGACTACAGGGGCCTCCAGGTAAAGCTCCAATCCCAGGCCCTACTGCATTCATTCGGCTGCCCTGGCCCACTGCCACTCAGTCCTCCTCATCCATTCTGGGTAAAACCCTCGCATTTAGCAGCGTTGATCCCTCACGCACCAGTGGCCCAGTAAGCAGGGCCGGTGAGCAGTGAACACCTGGCCCACCTGCTACAGTCCCACTTGCTCATCACCTGCAAGGGATCGCCCCTGCCTCTGTCAGGTGTCATGGCATGCGGACTGGATGGATGCCTCCACGAGGCCCCTCCACAGGTCATCGCCTGCCTCCACCGTCTCAGGACCTGGAGAGGGTCCCAAGGCCGGGGGTGGGCCTAGCTCCGGTCTGGCACTCAGTAGGTACTCCCTGCACCTTGGCTGCATTAGGAATTCCGACTGGGCTTGGGGAGGGACTAGGCTCGGAGCCCAGGGATCTCATGGGGAGAGTCAAGGGGGAGGCCGGGGGTTGGAGTGTCCAGGGGTTGGGGCCAGGGTCTCGGGGTGGGGGGCGCTGGGGTGTCCAGGGCTGGAGTCAGGGTTTCAGGTCGAATCAGGGAGCGCTGGGGTTCCCAGAAGTGGAGTCGGGGTCTCGGGTCAGAGCAGGGGGCGCTGGGGTTCCCAGGGGAGGAGTCGGGGTCTTGGGTCGGGACAGGGGGCCCTGGGGTTCCCAAGAGTGGGGCACCGGGGTCCCCAAGGGTGGGGCCGGGATCCGGGACCCAGAGCGCCCTCTCTCACACGCCTGGCGCTTCCTCTCCCTCCACGCACGCCCCCTCCGGGAGCCGCGCTCGACCCCGCGTGACCGGAAGTGGCCCCCCGTGGGCGCGGGCGGGGCGGGGCCCGGCGGCGGCACTTCCGGTGCCCACGCGCCGCCGCCGCGCAGCTCCGGGGCCGTCACTTTGTGTAGCGCGGGGCGCGCAGGCCCGGCCCGGCCCCGGCGTCCGGCGGCGGCTCGGCCGGCCCGGCGCGCGCGCGGTGAGTGGGCGGCAGGTGCGGGCGGCAGAGCGCGGGGCGCGGGGCCGGGTCGGGCTGCCCCTCCACGCCGGCGCGGGAGGCCGCGGGGAGGCCGCGGGGCCGGCGGGGCCCCGGCCTGGGCCTGGCAGGGCTGGAGTGGTGCGCTGGCCGGGCATTCGGCGGCCGCGCCCACACCCAGCGCGGCCCGCGGACCCCCGCCCCAGCCCGCGCGTTGGGGGAGGGCTCCGACCCCCCGGGCGGGCGGAGGCCGGCAGCGCGGAGCAGGCGGGCTGGGGAGGACACACGCGAGTCCTCGGGAGGTGCCCGCCGCCGGCTAGGCCTGAGGGGCGGGGGTTGGGCCGTGGCCGCCCCCGGGGACACACCCATCCAGGAGGGGCTGTCACCGCCACGGCCTCTGCAGGAGACCCAAGCCCGATAAGCCCCCTGGAGGGATGGAAGTGGCTTGGCCGGGCGCCCCGTGAGCTTGCTCAGTGACCTTGGGGGCCTCGTCTGGGTCCTCCCTCTTTGCAAATGGAGGCTCCGGTGGGCTGCTGTGCCGACTTCTACTGCTGGTAGTCTGGTAGGGGAACCTATCCCTAGGGTTGGGCAGGGTCTGGGCTGCCCCATGTGGCCACAGAGGTGGGAAAGGGGCGGGCCTTCGGTAGAGGACTAGGTGGGTAGCGAGAAGGGGAGGTGTGCAGGAGGATCAGGCCCCTGGCTACACCTGTATGGTGAGACCTTGGTACTTAGTTTGGTTCAACAAGTGTTGGCAGGTCTGGGGAGCTGGCCAGCAGGGTGAGGGGCTGGCCTGGGGGAGCTGGGATGGCCCCACGGATACAGCTGCTCCAGGAGCTAAATCCTGGAGGGTAGGGCAGCCCAATCCATGGACACACAGTGAGGATCCTAGTAGTCAAGGAAGGAAGGCTTTTTGGAGGAGACAAAAACCTGGAAGGCCTTGAATAACAGGGGTGTGGGAGGAAACGGGCTTAGATATATGTCTCCTCCTTCTCTATGTAGGTTCCTTGAATTTGGGACTTTTGTGGAGAGTTTCTAACAGTTTCCAAAGTTTTTTTCTGTTCTTGTGGTCCTCCCTTGTCTCCATGGAGGGTGTCTTGTCATCCTCAGCTGTGAGCGTACGCAGTGCTGTATCCTAGGATGCAGAGCCCCGGGTGGAAATAAGGGTCTGGGATGATGGGGGGGAGTGGTTTATGTTGATGAGGCTGCTTACATGACCCTCTGTGACTTCTGACCTGGAATCGGGTGCCTGGAAGTGGGCAGAGTGAGTGTCAGTGACTGACAGGCTGGGAAGAGAAGAAAGGAAAGTGTGTGGGTCTGGGGGAGTGAGCCCAGCCCCCAGCCGCTTGGGGAGGCAGAAGGCACCTGGTGCCCGAGTGACTGAAGTCTGTTTTCCAGAATGATTCTGTTCTGGATTCTGGGTTGGGGTATGTGGGGTGTCTGGCTGTGCTAGGCCACGGTTCCATCTGCAGGGTGACTGCTGACCTCCAGGGCTGCTGAGCCCTTCCCTTCTCTGGTCACCAGCAGGTGCACCAGCCTCTTCGAAGGCAGAGACTCTCAGTGCTTCTGGCGTGGGTTCCATTTGGAAGGACCCTGAAGAGCGGTCAGTCTATTCGGGAATGTGGCAGTGGGGCCAGAATACTGAGGTGTTTAGTTTTGTTTTGTTTTAGTGAGTTCTAGGCCCAGTGTGGGGCTTGAAGTCACGCCCCGGAGGTCAGGAGTCGCATGCTCTACTGTCTGAGCCAGCCAGGAGCCCCTGAGTTTTTAAAATCTCATGTTCATCACATTGATTACAGATTTTAGAGTCACTTCCTTAATAAATATTTGAGTAGCTCTGTGTCTGACACGGGGGATTCAGGGATGAGCAAAGGGAACTTCCGTCTTCTTGCAGTTGACTGTGTGTTTGGGGAGACAGGCAGTAAGGAGACAATTCTGTAAACACATAAAAGTGAGGTGCTGTGAGGACAGAGTTCGGGGAACTGGGTGAAACGGGGGCCCAGGAGGCTACCTCCAGAGGATCAGTGAAGGAGAAGGGAAGCAAGTTCCAGGGAAAGGGAACAGCATGGGCAAAGGTTTAGAGGTGGGACCAGCACAGGGCCACTTTATTCCAAAGCCCTGGGGTTTTCTTCTGTTGCGAGTCGGTCCTTGGATACGGCAGACCGGCCTGTGGGAGTCTGCTCTGGACGGTGGCCAGGCAGGAGACAGCTCCGCTGGGCTTGGTGTGGTGTCTGGGTTCAGCCTGGATTTGTAGCCTGAGGCCTGGGTGAGGAAAGCCCTCCTCTGGATCCTGAGGTGGGTGGCGCTTAGGAAACCTTTGCTGAGCATTCTCAGTGCCCTCAGTGCTGGGTAGGGCGGCTGCGTCTTCCTGGAGGTGGCTAGAGTAGCACTTGGCACACGTGTTTCTACACTCTGGCGCCTTCACATGGCCAAAGAGCTACGGAGACCAAGGATGTTGGTTTTGGGGAGAAGCTGAGGGCTGGGGTGGCCCACCTAGGCATAGCTCTTCACCTGTGACGTTGGGTTCAGTGACTGAATTCGCAATCCAGTCAGCTAGAGGGGAGTGTGAGGGGTGGGACAGAGGTGGCTTCTGGGTGCCCATGCATTCCAGCTCCTGGACCTGGGCCTTGGTCTCTGGGAGGCCTTCACTGATGCTCCGAGTTCCCTAGCTATTAAAGCGTGGATTGAAAGCAGTAGCTTGGAGCAGTTCAGAGAATGAGTGTGTGCTGCCTGATTAATAAAAAAGCGATGCGTTGGGGAATAAGAGCAGTTTTTTCATAGGTACCCTGTGTTCTGAGCTGTTCTCTTGACCCTGCACGTCTTTACGTGGGGTGTCCCTGTCCCGTTGTTGGGGTTCTGTGGCAGATGCTGTCCACTGGTAGAGCCGGTTGAGCTGGGGTGGGCCCAGCTGCCCCATGTGGCCTGACATTGCAGGAACCCTCTGGCGTTCATGCCCTCGTCCCAGGCTTCGGGGGTTGCTGTGTTTTGCAGTGGGCTTGGATCACTTTGGAAAGAGCCCTGTTTAGGTCTTAAGCACTGATGGGTCCGTTGCTGGGTGGTGGGCTCATTCTTAAGCTTTCACTCAAAAAGGAGCCTCAGAAACTGATTTTTTTTTTTTTAAAGATTTTATTTATTTATTCATGAGAGACGGAGAGAGAGAGGGAGAGAGAGAGAGAAGCAGAGGGAGAAGCAGGCTCCCAAGGAGCAGGGAGCCCGATGCGGGACTCGATCCCAGGACCCTGGGATCATGACCTGAGCCGAAGGCAGACGCTTAACCATCTGAGCCACCCAGGCGCCCCCAGAAACTGATTTTTATCAAAACTGTGACCCTGTCCTACCCTTGGGCCTCCAGCGGGCACCTGGGAGGGAGGAGTGGCCCCTGGGCCCGTAGCCTCCTGTCCATCAGGTCTACAGCCGTTGGCTGTGGGCCATGCAGCAGCTTGGCTGTATCTCTGCCTAGCACCTGGGCTGAGCCAGCTGTGACAGTGGTATGAGTAGGATTCTCTCCTGGGATTCTCTGATCCTTTAAACTTGAAGAGTTGTCACAGGGCATTTTAGATCATCTTTGCCGGTCCAGCGATGAACCAGATCTCCGTGATCTGTTGAACTTTTTCTAGATGCCCTGGATGGAGTGAGGGGCAAGGGAGACGCAGAGGGTAACACACACTCAGGACCTCTTGTGTGCCGCCTCTGGCAGGAGGGATCCTGACCTGCTGGCCTTCCCGGCAGTGGTGAATGAGCCTGCCAGTCTCATTGCACCCCTGCCCAGGCCTCTCCTCTCACACCCCTGCCGGCACAGTGTGGGTGCTGAGAGCTGGGTGAGCCGTTCCTCCCAGGCTGCACTCACCCCTTTCAGCCAAATGTGGGCCACTCTCGGCCGTGTTGCCTGGACTCCCTGCTTCTCATGGCCCCTGAGGATAAAGACCTGGGCTAAATCCCTGATTTACTCCAAGAAAGCATGGCAGTTCATATGCAGCACATAATTGCTGGCAAGAAAGAGCTGAGGCTGCATGATGGGGTCACGGAGAGGGGCTCTGTGGTTAGTTTTTCTGGGTACAGAATGTCCCAGTTGTGCCACGTGAGCTCATGGGAAGAGCCCTGGTCCGTCCTCAACTCTGGAGCCGTTTCTGTCCAACGGGGGGGATGAGTCCTGCCTCCGACGCGGTGGCGTGAGGCCCATGTGAGGCCCGAGCAAGGCGCGTGAGGGTGCTGCGGGCGGCTCGTCACCGCCGCCCGTCTGTGTTTCAGGCCGAGCTGAGGCTCTCCTCCGGGGAAGATGGCAGCCCTGCGAACCGCTCCGGGCTCACCAGCCACGCAGCCGGCGAAGGCGGAGGATGGGTTGGAATGCGGTCCTGCTCAGGAGGAAGAAGAGGAAGAAGACCAGGGGGAGGAGGTGGAGATAGAGGAGGAGGAGGAAGAGATCCCGGTGGGGGAAGGCCAGCACAAGCAGGTGGCGGGGGACCAGGAGGGGGGGGGGCGGGCAGGGCACGCGGACCAGGTGGAGGTGGAGTTGGAGGAGGACGGCGATGTGGAGGAGGTGACGGCGGAGGAGCGGAGTCTGACCTTGGGGGCCCAGGAGCGCCGCAGCCACGCTGCTGATGCCAAGTCTCCGGTTCTCCAGGGACAGGGTAAGAGAAAGGAACCGGCTCCCGGGGTAGGAGGCCGCGGGGGGCCTGGGCAGGGCTGGGGCGTCGGGACCCAGGCTCTGAAACGGAGGAGCCTGGAGCTCCTGCCCCTGCTTGCTGTCCGGGCAGAGGTGACCGTGGCCTGATGGGGAAGGCGGGCCCCTAACGGGTCTTCCCCTCAGCCTCGCAGGCTGCCCGGGTTCCAGCCCCGCCTCGGGATGAGGACCTGGAGGAGGAGGAGGAGGAGGAGGAGGAAGAGGAGGAAGAAGAGGAGGAAGATGATGACGATTCCCTGACCGCTGGGTCTCAGGTGAGCTGCTCCCTCTGGAGCTCAGTTAACCAGGCACCTGCTGTCCTGGAGACCCCTGTGGGCAAAGCAGAGGCTCTGTGGTCCTTAGGGCGAGTTCAGGCTGTGAGCGGGGACGGGGCAGCAAGAAGCGACTGGGGGTCTCTAGCCCCAAGCCCCTGGGACGTGGTTCCACTTGCCCGGGGCCCAGCCCTTCCCAGGCCATCATGTCCTGAGGATGTTGACTGCCCCTCACGTGGCTGCACTACGGCCCCTTACCTGGAGGGCCTGTCACCTGTCCAGGCTTGGGTTTCCTGCCGAGCCCACTCAGATCGGGCCCCAGTGCCCACAGTCGGTTGAGTTGATGCCGCTTATGCACCCAGGTGTGGGCCCTCACATTGCTGATGTGACCACTGGCTTAAGGTGGACAATGAGGGGGTAGGACACAGCCTCCCCGCACAGCCATGGACTTGAGCTTTCTCATCTCCTGACCTCAGTGTGAGTCATGGCTCTGCCCCCCCCCCCACGCTGAGCGTTCGCCCTCTCTGAGCCTGGGTTCCTAATCTCTGAACGGAAATGGGGTCTTTAGCTTTCAGGGCCACCGCCAGGCTTGCACACCTTGAGTACTGCTGGGCCTATGCAGGCCTGTCAGTGACGGGATGTCGGGCTGTGTCCCCGTGAGCTCCGTGTTGCAGGACCATGGTCAGCTCTTCTTGACGAGCTTTTTCTGTTGCTCGTGTTCTAGGGGCTCCCCCGCCTCTCTCCGAGAGCAGCTTAGGGCAGAGGCCAGGGCTCTGTTTTCCAGGGGCTGGTGACCTTTGAAGATGTGGCTGTGTACTTCTCATTGGAGGAATGGGAAAGGCTGGATGCAGACCAGCGGGACCTTTACAAGGACGTCATGCAGGAAAACTATGGGATCCTGGTGTCCTTGGGTAAGCCAGGAGGCTTTGTGGTATGATGGCTCCCAGCAGCCTAGCCGTTTGAGAGAGTGGCCTCTGAAGCCCCAGGGTCTAGGAGAGGCGCGTCCTGGAGCCAGCCCACTTCTTGAGGGAGTCCTAGGGACCGGGGTCTCTGCTGTGGCCCAGCAGTGCCATGGGCCAGGTGGATGTGTTCTGGGAGCCGCCGGTCCAGCTCCGGTCCCTGGGCCATCTGCCCCCCTGAGGCCTCCGGGGCTGAGGAGTCAGGGGCTAGGGGGGCTGAAGGTGTGTGGAGGGGCTGAGCAGGACAGCTCTGGCTCGCAGGGCAAAACTCTAGACTTGTGAATGTGGGATTTCCCAGGGCGGAGGCCGAGAGGTGGGAGGGCTGGTCCGGGAAGGGAGAGTGAGGAGCCGGTTGGCATGTCGGGGATGGCACTGTGAGCGATGAGGGCGGGGCCTGGCCAGCGCAGCCCTGCAGCTGCTGGCTGTTTCTCTCCTGGCCAGGCTACCCAATCCCCAAGCCGGATCTGATCTTCCGGCTGGAGCAAGGGGAGGAGCCCTGGGTCCCAGATAGCCCCCGTCCTGATGAAGGAGACATTGTCACTGGCGTCTACACAGGTGAGTAGGAGATGGAATCTCGTGGGGTTTCTGCTGACGCAGCTCCTCAGGGCTTTGCCAGACTTTGGCCTTGACCTTAGCTCTGTGCCGTGGCCTTGATGCTGGTGGTCTGGGATGTGGAGTGGGCCGCTTGGATAGGGAGGCCAGCACGCGCTAACCTCTGCCTTTGTGTGTTGGCCTCTCCAGGCTGGCGAATCCTTAGAGAACCTACGGGTTCCTCTTAGAAGCCTTGGAAAATGTCCCTGTCCCTGCCTGGGAGCCTCTGATTGTTTTTTGTTTTTTCTAAGTGAGGGCCATTTGTTAAGTGTTTGGCTCAGAGAAATAAGTGCAGGAACTGGGCAGACTCTGGCTGAGAGCGCAGGAACCCGCCTTTCTGGTTCCCACACTTGAACCAGTCCTGTGGCTTCTCCACCCTTTGGGCTGTCTCTGAGCAAAAGGGTCTGGGGGGCAGGCCTCTGGCCTGGATGCGCAGCTCTACTCCTTCCAGAAGGGAGATTTTGGAGCGAAGTGTTCAGGGTGGCGAATTTCTCTGGACACCTCTGATGTGGTTCTGTTTCCCCAACTGTCTGAGCTTCGCTTTGCTCACATGGAGAACAAAGAATTTGACCTAAATCCATAATTTCTAAGCCGAAGTCGTGGGACTGTTGGTTCTGTGGAGGTGCTTCACAAGGTCTGTGAGTCAGGCTCAGTGTTTGAGAGAGATCCGTGGAGGGTGTGTCCGCCTTTGGGCTCGAGTGACGTCCCCCCAGTGAGGGCCACTGGATGGCTCGTGCCAATCAGGTGCCTGGATAGACTCGGAGCAGCTCATAGACATATTTCAAAATAAAAATACACAAAAACACAGACCGTGTTACTACACCTACGGGCGGTCTCTTCAAAGTGTTTTCCTGTTTACCCTGTATCCTCTCGACAAGCCTGGGCCGTAGCAGGGCAGAGGCGACCAGTTGACCTCACATATGAGGACTTTGACTTTGAAAGTGGGGACGCCGTGGCTTGCTCAAGGTGGGATCAGCCCCAGGGCTCACTTGCCATGGGGCTGCAGGATGGCCTTCCCACCCTGGCTCTCCACATGCTGTGGGGCCCTCTCTGGGAATCGTTCCTGGGCTTCAGACTTGGGTGGGCTCTGACTGGTGAGACCACCGCAGCTGCTTCCGGGATGAGTCTGGGACAAATCTTTCTCCGAGGGGGACCTCAGTGAGAGGTGGGCCCTGTTTATGGGCACAGCTCAGAAAAGCCACCTGCAGATAAAGGGGCCACAGGCCTGCCTTGGCCAGTCTCTCATCATGTGGGCTGGATGTACCCCCATTCTCCATGCTTCTTGGGTCCTGGGGTACAGCCTTTTGCAGGCTCCAGTGGGGGTGGTCCTGGGTGGGGTCCAGCAGCACCCTGAGGAGGCTGGCTAGCTGGGCCGGTGAGCCTCGACCACCCACCCCTGTCCCCGCCCATGCCACCTGGTGAGTCCTTGGCTGCTACAGGATCCAGGCGTAGTCTTAGACATGCCCCTGTCTGCGGGGATCAGCTCTGGTAGGGCAAACCCAACTAAGGCCTTTCTCTCTTTCTTTTAAGTTTTATTTATTTATTTGTGTGCATGTGCTCGTGTGAGAGCGGGGTGAGGGGCAGAGAATCCTCAAGCCGACTCCCCGGCCCAACTCGGGGCTTAATCCCAGGACGCTGAGACCATGACCTGAGCTGAAATCGAGGGTGGGCCGCTTAACCGATTGAGCCCCCCAGGCGCCCCATCCAAGGCCTTTCTTTTTTTTTTTTAAAGATTTTATTTATTTGACAGAGACACAGTGAGAGAGGGAACACAAGCAGGGGGAGTGGGAGAGGGAGAAGCAGGCTTCCCGCGGAGCAGGGAGCCTGATGCGGGGCTCGATCCCAGGACCCCAGGACCATGACCCGAGCCGAAGGCAGATTCCCAATGACTGAGCCACCCAGGCGCCCCTCCAAAGCCTTTCTTAACTATGACTGTAGTCTGTTTGCTAAATGGTCTCCCTCCCCTCTTCTCCCCATACTCATTTCTGTGTGGCTGAGTCTGTCGAGAATTGAGAATTGCTGGGTCTGGCAGGACAGATGCTAACTGTTGTGAGCCTGACAATTTCTGGATTTCTAGATTGTAGTCTGGCAAAACACAAGTGTCTTCCTCTCTTGTGCTTCTTGAAGAATTGGGCCAAAAGGTTTGGACCGTGGCCGGCTTCTTCCACTCAGGCGCCCCATCCCGCCTGCTGTACTGACCTGAAGTCCCCTGCTCTGCCCTTCCAGCTCTGTGTTCCGGCCCCCCAACCCATGGGCCACCCCCTTCAGCTCACTGCTGCTTGCTCTCCTCACCTCTCCTGACCCCGCCCCTTTCCGGCGCCTTTCTCCTCACCCGGCTTGGATAGCAGTGCCCCCCCGTTTGTGATAGCCCCGTGGAGTCGCCTGCCAGACCCCTGCCCATGCAGGACCCCATTTCCTGCCCACATCTGCACTGCAGCTGGGTCGTGGCTGGAGAAAAGTGTGCCCGCCAGCCGACCACACACCTCCTGAGGACACTGCCACCACCTGGGCCCGGTGGTCTGGCCTCGTGTCCTTGTTGGGTTGGCTCTCTGCTCTCTGCGGTGGACGCTCTTGGCCCCGAGGACCCCACACACCCCTGGTTTCTCAGCTGCCTTCCTGGCTGCTTCTCCACCTGCCCTCGCTTGTTCCCGAGACCAGGACGGTCCTGCATCCTCTTCTGTTCTCTCTAGGTGACCTCGGCCAGAGCTTACGTCGATGCTGCCCATCCGCAGCTTCTTTCTCCAGCTCTCTCCCTGTCTGCTTGTCCATCCGTATGCTTGGCCTCTCCACTCACTTACCTGATGGGCATTTCAGAGTGAACCTGCACCTTACAGGGCTTCTCCTAGTCCAGTCCCCTCTTGCAGTGTCCTTGGCACCTGAGTGGGCCTGGCCCGATTAGTCCTTGTCACTCTGCCTTCCTTGCCCCACCCCATCCCAGGCTCCCAGGAGGCCGGCGGGCCTGTGGCCACAGGTGTCCCCCAGCTGCCTCTGCCTTCCCTCCAGTAGCCTCCCTGTGCACTTGGCGCAGCGTCTGGGCCCTGCTGTGGCTTGAGACCGCCGCCCCTCCAAGCTCATCTCCTGCACCCTTAGCTCTTCAGGCTCGGCCCCACAGACCACCTTAGTCTTCAAGCTCTCACCTGCCTCGGGGCCTTTGTGCCTACTGTTTCCCCTGCTGGGAGTGCCTTTTGTGTGGCTGGCTCGGCTCTCAGGCCCCACTCGAGTCACGTGTTCTCTGAGCACACAGACTTCAGGAGCACGCCCTCCTGCTTTACTCCAGGGTGTTCCCTGCAGTTACAGCCAACAGCGCTGTCTGAAACGGTCCTGCCTAGATGTTTGCTTCCTCATTCCCTGTCTGCTGCCTCCGGCCGCCTCCATAAGAGCTAGCACTGTGTGTTGTCTCCCCCGGTGCTGTCTCCCCGGTACCCGGCACGGGCCTGGCACCCAGCGGGGCCGGCTGCTGATCCCCCTCCTTGGCTGCACTCCTGCCCCTCATGTGAAAGCGAAGGACGGAAGAGAATTACAGAATGCAGGATCACACCTGCTTAAGATGCCCCAGGAAAGGAGAGAGAGAATTTCAGAGCAGTGAGAGGTAAAACACTAAGGTGGGGGAATCTCAGCGTCGGTGAGCACAGTCAGTGGTTCCGGAGGGGAGGAGGTCAGGAGCAGCTGTGGAATGCAGGCCCGGGACCAGCCTGCAGGTGGTCTTTACCTCACACAGCCCGTGAGCACCTGGGCGGAGCACCTGGGCTGGGCCTGTCTGCCCCACCAGGTTCGGGGGGCTAGTAGTCCTTAGCGTGGGCCTTCCCTGCCTTTGGCACACCCCTGAGGGGGCCCTGGGTGTCCCCGAATCCCCTTTTTTTGTCTGAGCCAGGGAGAAGGCACTTGGGTCCTGTCTTGCCTCAGAGCCCTGGGCACGTGGTGTTGGCAGAAGGGGAAGGAGCCAGGAAACATTCCACGTGAGGAAGGCTCCTGTTGATAGCTGGTCCTTGGTATTCATGGTACAGATGAGGAGACTGAGGCCAGAGAGGTCACCTGCCAGTGATGGGCGGGCCCTGTGCTCACGGGAGGACAGAGCCCAGTACAGAAACCTGGCCCTGTCGCGAGCTGCCGTCTCCCCCACACTTGAGTACAGCCCTGGTTACCAAACTCCTGCTCAGTGGGAAGGAAGGGCAGCTGACCAGCAGTCCTGGAGGCAGGAGCCCACCTGCAGCTTGGGCACCCCAACCCTGTGCATGTCCTCCCCTTCTAACTGTTCCTCGGTGGGGGGCTCTCCTCAAACGCACTTCGAGTCTCCGGGTCTGGATGGAGAAGTCAGGAGCAGGTGTTGACTTTACTCTCGGGCCCCAGCAGAGATGGGTTTAGTCAGAGCCGACTCACCATGGGGCCAGGTCAGGGTGGGTTCCCGGACCGGGCAGAGGTTGCTCGGGGGCGGGAGTTGTAGAAAAACGGCCTGGTTCTCAGGGCGTTGTGTGTCTGTCGTGCTGAGCAGCCCGCGGTGGGCCTCCCAGCAGCTCGGGGACAGAGGTGCACCAGGCGTGTGGCTTGGGGGCTTTCATCTTCTCCAAGGCCCTGTGATTAGTGCCTCGGTATGGCACTTACTGACAAAGGGCCTCTCCTGACAGGGCCACGGGTCAGCCTCTGGGATTGTCATTGGGCCTCAGAGCACTGGTTCCAGCCTAGCTGATCATCACCCAGGGTCATAGTCCTTGGGAGCAAATGTCGCGGGGAGATGAAGCAGCAGTTCCCACTTCCCAGGGTCCTCTTCTCTGCCCTACCCCTGTGGGTTCTGGAAGAAGCAACTGTGTTTGACCCTATCGGCCCCTGTTACAAAATGTCCCCTCACCCACCTTGTAAAAGCATTCTCTGCCCTGGCTGTCGTCTCACAAGGAGACCTGGTAAGTGCTCACTTGGATTCCAGCAAACTCCCTGGGAACCCGGAGTGACCCTTCCATTGCCCGCCCCCACTCCAGGGCCCCACCTCCAGACTCTGGCCCACTTTGGTGACAGAAAGACAAGGGAACAGAACCCAGCCTCAAGGCAGGCTGGTCTTCCTCTGCCTCCCCCTCCAGTGGTCCTGCTCTTCCCGGCGATCTTGGGGTGCAGCCGGCTCTGACTGCCCAGGGACACGGCCGCCCTTACTACTCCTCATTTGGTGTCAGTGGTGCTGTCCACCACCTTGCCGTGTGTTCAGTGGTTTCTCATTCCTGGACAAGAGGCCTGTGTCGGCTCCGGAGGTCCCTCCTGTATCACTCCTCTCTGCAGAGGCTTGAGGTGGGGGCCGGGCAAGGGCTCCCCTTCCCTGGTGTGCATGGGGGCTTTCCTCTACTCCTAGACCCCAAGGAAGAGGTGTTGTGGGTGAGTCACTGGGACCTGGCCCACCCTTCCCAGTTCTGAGTGGCCAAGGTAATTTGGCCTGCGTGTCGGCTTTGTATCCAGCAGGGGGCTGACCCTGGGCTAGGTCCTGGGGTGCACACTAACCCCACTAAGACGCTGAACGTGTTCCTGCGCTTCAATTCCCCCTGCCTTGGGGAGTCTCTAATTCAAACTACTCAAGACCCTCCCCAGAGTCTTGTGGTAAAATTCTTTTTGAGACTCATGGGAAGAACGCCCAGCTGATCTGAGTACCCGTGAACTGCCTGTCCCTCCACCCATCCCCTCCTGTTTCATGAGGGTATTCTGGCCTTCCCAGTGAGGAGCTGGGCCTTCTCTGTGCTCTGCAAGGGGTGGACGCCTCACGCCACCCACTCGTGGCCCCAGGTGGCGGCTGCACGTAAACTGAGCTTAGTTCAGAAAACTTTGGTCTCCTATTTTAACACTTATTTTTACCTGTAGAAAACTTGAAAGTATTACAATTCTGAAAAAAATAAAATAACCCATTTCTGTACGCCTTTAAATGATGCGTGTTTTTGTTCACAGCTGAAATCATGCCCGAACAGTTCTGTGTCTGGCTTTATTTGTCCCCGCGCTTTGCTGTGTTCTCCCACGTGACCAAATTCCCTACATGTAGAGTGCCATACAGAATATAGGACAAGGGCTGAGCCAGGGTGGGCAGCCCTCCTGGGCCCCCACCTTCCCTCGGGGGCAGGACTCGGTGATCCACACTCATCCAGCCAGGTGATGCCTGACACTGGCCCCAGTTTCGGTGGTGGACCCAGGTGGGGTAGAGGAGGGGATTCCCACCCTCTAGAACCTTCCAGATGCTAGGATTCTGGGGAGGGTGACAGCATGGTGTGCGACCACTGTGGACCCACACGGGGTGGAGTGTACATGAGAAAGTAGGCACACAGGTGCTTTGCAACACCTGGGGCCACTGTGGGTCAGGTGTTTTCCCTTCGCTTCCTTGTGTGACTTAGTGCCTGCTCTGCAAATGGTAGTTCTCTCCTGAGAACGGTGGCAGGCCTATCAGCACTCCATTTTATAAACGAGAAAACCCTCCAGGCCTGACTCTGTACCCACGCTCTGAACTGAACAGAGAGGTCGCTTTGGTGGAGGAGGTAGAGAACTGCAGGACATTTTGAGGGTGGGGGGTGTCCTTGGCCTTCTGTGATAGGAAGGTGCTAGCAGTTCACCCAGTCTTAGCCAGCTTGGGACTGCAAATGCACAGCCACTCAGAAAAAGCCAAGCTTTGGGGTGCCTTAGCAGGGAAGCTTGGGCTGTGCCTGAATCATTGCTGGAGACTGTTAGGATGAGTGCAGAGAGCTGGGGCCCAGTGGCCCCTTAGGTCTCCATGGCTCAAGGCAGCCTTTTCAGGTTCTGCTCTGAGAGTGGGAGGGAGATCCACGGCTGCTGGCCAGCCTGAGGCTGGTGGAGAAGAACTCAGAGGGGAAGGGGTGCTGAGCAAAACTTAGGTGCTTACAACGCAGGTCCTCAGCTGCCAGGCCCTGGGGCTGTGCTGGTACTGGAGCCTTGCTTGCCTTGGGCCAAGCGGGGGTGGGGGGGTGGAGTTCTCTGGAAGACAAGGGGTTTTGGGGAGAACAGCTCAGGAGTCTCTGTTTTTTCTGAGTACCAGACCCCTGTTATGGGCTTGGCCCCTGGTCTCCCAGGAACCTGCAGGCAAGGTCACCAACTTTGTAGAGCTTTCCCGTTTCTCAGCAGGGTGGCAAGCACTGGAGATCTGGAAGAGGGATTAATTAGTTGAGGCCATTTGAGGACAGTCCAAGAAGTCAAAGAATTTCGGCCTCCCCTAGGAGGGACACCCACGCACATATTTCTCCCGTCTGCAGAGTTCCTCCTGAGGGAGGCCGCGGCTTTACTGCCCCACGGGCGCTGGAACGCGCACAGCCTCTCCCTTTGTGGAATGCAGAGGCACCCTGTCCAGAGCCTGGGGATGGAGACTCGGTGCCGGGGAGCTTGGGGTCCCGCGCAAGCTGTGGTTTCTCTAGGGAGGAGCCTGCAAGGGGCTGCCTCGACCGACTCTCACCTCTCTTCTGGCCTTTGTCGCCTTCAGGGGCCTGGTTCTGGACCGACGACCTAGACGACCATGAGGAGGACGACGACGAGGACTTCCTGGCGGAGGTGGCCGAGGAAGAGAACGAGCCCCCGGGGCTCTGGTCAGCGGCCTACGGCGTGGGGGACGTTCCTGGGACGTGGGGCCCCGATGACTCGGATTCAGCGCAGACTCCGGAGGGGTGGGGTCCCGACCCCGGGACCCTCGGGGTCCTGGCCGAGGGGTCCGAGGCGAAGCCCTTCTTGCCGGGCCGGGAGCCTGGCGTGAACCTGCTGGCGCCCTGGGCGTTCCCTGCCACTGTGGCTGCTCCGGCCGGGCGGCCCGAGACCACGTGCGACGTGTGCGGCAAAGTGTTCCCGCACCGGTCCCGGCTGGCCAAGCACCAGCGCTACCACGCGGCCGTCAAGCCCTTCGGCTGCGACGAGTGCGGCAAGGGCTTCGTGTACCGCTCGCATCTGGCCATCCACCAGCGCACGCACACCGGAGAGAAGCCCTTCCCGTGCCCGGACTGCGGCAAGCGCTTCGTCTACAAGTCGCACCTGGTCACGCACCGGCGCATCCACACGGGCGAGCGGCCCTACCGCTGCGCCTTCTGCGGGGCGGGCTTCGGGCGCCGCTCCTACCTGGTCACGCACCAGCGCACGCACACGGGCGAGCGGCCCTACCCGTGCCCGCACTGCGGCCGCAGCTTCAGCCAGAGCTCGGCGCTCGCGCGGCACCAGGCGGTGCACACGGCCGACCGGCCGCACTGCTGCCCCGACTGCGGCCAGGCCTTCCGCCTGCGCGCCGACTTCCAGCGCCACCGGCGCGGCGGCGGCTGCGCGGAGCCCGGCGGCGACGGCTCTCGGCGGGAGCCCTGCGACACGGTGCCCGCGGCGGGGCCCGAGGAGGCCGAGGCCGGGCCGGAGGAGCCCGAGGAGGCCGAGGCCGGCGAGGCTGACGGAGAGGCCGAGGCGAGAGAGGAGGCGGAGGCGGCGGCGGCGGCGGCGGCGGCGGCGGCGGTGGTGGGGCCCAGCCCCGGGCGCAAGGAGGACCCCGAGCCGGACAGGCGATTCCTCGAGCTGGGCAACGGCCTGGGGGAGGGCGAAGGCCCTTCCTCGCACCCACTCGGCTTCCACTTTCCCGTGCACCCCAAGTCCTGGCTCCACCCGGACGGCTTCCCGATCCTGGGCCTCCCGGACTTCGGGGAGCGGCTGCCGGCCGACGGGCGCCCCCTGCCGGGACCCCTGGGGGACCGGCTCGCTCTGGTGGAGGGCGCCGGGCTAGCCTGCGACCCTTTCGGCGGCGGTGTGCTGGGGGGCGGCGGCGGCGGCGGCGGCGGGCTGCGCGCATTCGCGCCGGCCGTCGGGGGGCTGCTGGCCGAGCCGGCGCCCGCCGCGCTGACTGAGGAGGAGAGCCCGTGGATCTGCTCCGACTGCGGCAAGACGTTCGGGCGCCGCGCGGCGCTGGCCAAGCACCAGCGCTACCACGCGGGCGAGCGGCCGCACCGCTGCGCGGACTGCGGCAAGAGTTTCGTGTACGGCTCGCACTTGGCGCGCCACCGCCGCACGCACACGGGCGAGCGGCCCTTCCCGTGCCCCGAGTGCGGCGCGCGCTTCGCCCGCGGCTCGCACTTGGCGGCGCACGTGCGGGGCCACACGGGCGAGAAGCCCTTCGTGTGCGGCGTGTGCGGCGCGGGCTTCAGCCGGCGCGCGCACCTGACGGCGCACGGGCGCGCGCACACGGGCGAACGGCCCTACGCGTGCGGCGAGTGCGGCCGCCGCTTCGGGCAGAGCGCAGCGCTGACGCGGCACCAGTGGGCGCACGCCGAGGAGAAGCCGCACCGCTGCCCCGACTGCGGCAAGGGCTTCGGCCACAGCTCGGACTTCAAGCGGCACCGGCGCACGCACACGGGCGAGAAGCCCTTCCGCTGCACGGACTGCGGCCGCGGCTTCGCGCAGCGCTCCAACCTGGCCAAGCACCGGCGCGGCCACACCGGCGAGCGGCCCTTCCCGTGCCCCGAGTGCGGCAAGCGCTTCTCGCAGCGCTCGGTGCTCGTGACGCACCAGCGCACGCACACGGGCGAGCGGCCCTACGCCTGCGCCAACTGCGGCCGCCGCTTCTCGCAGAGCTCGCACCTGCTCACCCACATGAAGACGCACCGCAGCGCGGCGGGCGCGCCCGGCTCGGCGCCAGCGGCCCCCGCGTCTAAGGCCGAGGCTCCCGCCAAGGGGCCGCCGGTCGCGGGCAGCGGGCCCGGGGAGCGCGGCAGCACCCTGCTGGAGTTCGCGGGCGGAACGAGCTTCGGCTCTGAGCCGACGGCCACCTTCGCGGGGCCCTCGGGCGCCTACGAGGAGAGCATCCTGTGATGGCCGGAGGCCGACGGAGGCGCAGCCCGCTGGGCCGCCGGCCCCTTGCTCCTCTGGCCTCGGGGTGCTGAGGGCCCCAGTCCTGGTGCGGTGCCTTCCCCTCAGCCCCCGGTGCACCGCACCGCCCCCCCGGCCTCGGGCGCCCCTCCTGCCCGGCCCCGGGAAACCGGGTCGCCAAGCTCGTCCGGCCGTGCAGGGGGCGTGTGGGGAGAGGAGAGCCGCGCGCGGAGGAGGCGAGGGCAGGGGGCGGCCACCCCGACCAAGACTGCGGCATCCCTGGGTCTGTGCTATGGAGCCACGCGGTAGGGATGTCAGGCGATCTTATTTATTTCACTCGGGTTCCGATTTGGGTGGCCTGGGGGACCGGCGGCCGATGAGTTTGTAAGTGGGTTGTACAGCGAGGGCGGGGAAGCCCTTGCGTCAAGGGGAGGGTGGGGTGGTCGAGGGCGGAGCATCCGGCTCCTCCCGTGGGTTTGGCTGACGACTTCTTCCCATTCCTCCGTGAGAGACTTCAGGGACCTTCTGGTCATTTGAGTGTGTCCGGGAAGTTTTAAGGACCGCGGGGCTAGGGGAAGCCTTATGGGTTTCCGGAGGACGATGTGCCTCCCTACCCAGGGGGGACAGAGATGCAACTGGGAAAGCTTTTATTCTGTCTACTGTGGATATTTATTTCCATCTCTTGTATGGCCTGAAGAATCTGGGAGGAGGAGGAAAAGCCAGAAACCAAATTTGTGGCCCCAGGCGGGTGGGTTGCAGGTGTCCCAGGGTCCTGAGGGAGTTTGAAGCCTTATTTGGGGGAGGGTCACTCGCTCTCACCCCACTTGAGCACCTAGATCAGCCAGGCAAAATTCTGCCCGGTGGGTTTTGGTCTCCGCCTCCCCTTTGAGTCCTTTGGTACTCTCACCTCTGGCAGCTAGAGGGGCCACACTCAGAGATCCTCAGGGGCCCCTTGCTGGCTGCTGTGGCCATGGCCCAGCCTTCAACTGCCTGGGCCGCCACCACCACCCCCCCACCCCCCCAGAGCAAGCAGGTGGACACATGGGTCCCTGCCCTCTAAGCCCAGTGCTTGTTTAAATTTAATAACCAATTGTAAAGTGACAGGTCGGCAGCAGGATCATTTCTCACATCCCTATGGGGTTAGGGCCCTATGACGTCTGCAGGTCCCTTTAATGCTGCTTCTGTCATTATTCTATACTAGAAGCAAGTAGTGTTTCTATTTAGAATTCCATGTCACAGGGTGGGCAGTCTGTACAGTGGAAGTCCACCTCTGGGGGTGTGGACTTGAGCCTGTGGCTCAATGACAAGCCAGGCACCCAGCTATGCAAGACCCGCACCTGGTGGGCATGCCACCCTCCGGGTTGGGCCATTGGGAGCCACTGGGCAGGCAGCTGAAGTATGGCTCACATGAGATCCTTTCCTCCCTTAATGCCTTTTGGGCCAGTGTGAGTGGGGCCAGAAAACATTTTAAATTAACTGCATTCCCTTTTAGACCTAGTTCCTTCTGTTTTAGTGTAGACATGGCCTTGGGGCCTGAGAGCCAGCAGCCAGGCTGCTGGGGCTGGGGGCGGGGTAGGAGGCGCAGTAGTTGGTGGGTGGGAAGGGGGCAAGGATGGTGGTAAGAATTCACCTGGCTGGGTGAGGTGGTGGGGTGGGTTGGGGTGCTGAGGAGGGCAAGGGTCCCAGGAGGCATCAGCAATGCTGGGTGATGCCTTCCCTGTCCTCAGTTTCTTTCCTCTCCCTGTGGGACAGGAACCTCAGGGGCCAAGGGCAAGGCAGCATAGCCCTGTACGGCTGGGGTTTGGCTCCGTGCTCATTCCTCCTTGCACACCCCTCAGAGTGCATATCTTTGGTGCCCCCCTGGGCCCCAGCTGCTTCTGCCCTGGCCCGGAGCCATCAGCAGGAGGACCTAGCTTTAATAAAGAGTGGAGAAATGAGCTTTCTGACTGGATTCCATGTTGTTGCCGCTCCTCGATGCCCTCAGGGAGGCTCTGTAAGGTCTCGGGCCTTTTATCTGCAAAAAAAAAAAAAAACCCCACAAAAAACTTTTTTTAGGAGTTTCTCCTTTCAGAAACTAGAAATGGCCCGGGAGGAGTCAGCCCAAGATGGGCTTTGGCTCCTGCCTCCTGTGTCTACCAAGTCTTTCTGGGAGTCCCCAGCGGGCCCCCCACACTGCCGCATACTCTTTGTAATACACCTATCTTGGGATCTTATTGTGCTTAGGATTGTTTTCTCCAGCCTTCCCTTGGTCAAAGGAGACGGGCCAGGTCCCCTTCCTGGGGGTCCCGACATGCGCTGAGTCCCAGACATTTCCTCAGAGGCCTCAGTGGTTCGTGGGTTTATCCAGGCTCATCTGCTCTGTGCCAAGGCAAAGGACACCTCCCCAGGACCTCCAAACTCCTTCCTTTCTCCTGATTTATTGACTACCTTCTCACCAGATGATGCCCCATAACCAGATCTGACTTCCCATTCTTTGCCCGTGGATTTGGAAAAGTATGAACTATGAAGTAAATTGTCTTCGAGATGTGATCTGGAGGCATCAGAACAGAACCCAATGTTTCAGTTAAAAAAAAAAAAAAGGCTTTGAGTGGCAGATGGATGTTAAGACCTAGTTAAAAATTGATGGCCTTGAGGATCTTAAAGTCTATTCAGAAAAGGCCAATTATTCCCGGATAGAGCTTACAGATGTCTGGCCAAATTTTTTTTTTTTTATTTCGGGGAGGGCGGGGGACCCAATCCTAATGGTCATAGAAAAAAGAAAGTAGACAGCCCTTCTGGTTTTGAGAGGACTTCCAAATTTTTGGAGTCCCTGACTGATTCCCCAAGTGTCAATTTAGCATCTTCTATCATTGCCAAGGAGTAGAAGCCCCCAGGAGATGTGACCCATGCAAGGTAGTACTTTGAGAGTCTTGAGGCTCTGAGCACCCCTCTGGCCTCCCCCTACCTTTGTTATTTTCCTGTTTCCCTCTTGCTTGCATTTCCCCAACCTCCTTCCTTGCTCCTGACCCTTTCACTTGATCTCTTCAGACATCTCCTTCTAACTCTTTATTTTTTCTTTCTCTAATTGGCTACATATGGAATAAAGTATTTTGAAATTTTTGGTTATATTTATTAAATAAAGCTTTATGATCCTTGTTCATTATTTAATTTTTTCCTGATTATAAAATACATGCTAGTTGTAAAAATCCCAATAGTACGACAAAATGTGTTACGTGCACACTTATATCCTATAGGGTCACACCACATCCAGCCACTGGGAACCAGAGCAGCTTCAGGAGGCGTGGGGGCACATTTCTTCCATGGAACAGATGTTTCACCACTGGGGACATACTTTACATGTTCCCTTGCAACTTGCTTTTTTCATCTAACAACATATTAGGACGTACTTTCCTACCGGACAGAACTACCTCACTCATTTTAACTGCCCCAGCATAGCATTTCATTTTGTGGACGTACCCATAATTGATGTAACCTCTTCTGCAACAATGGGCATCCGGTTGTTCCCAGCATCTCACAATTACAAACAATGCTGCAATGTCGATTCTGGTACATATTTCTGTGCAGTTATGTAGATTTTTAGTTATTTGTTTAGAAAAAGAACTAGAGGTGATGTTGCCATATAGCTAAATTGTCACTGAGAAAGGCTAACTCCCAGTCCAACCGTGGATTCTCCCAGCGTGGTGAGGAAGTGCTCGTGGTCCACGGCCTCGCCAACAGGGGGCATCAACAATCATTTTAATCTTGCTTTGTTCTTAATTTTACAGAGGTGAATGGCTTGCCTTTTTCTGTTTCTTTCAAACATGTAAATAGGTTATTTAAAAACAACAACAACAACAGCTACTCATGGCCTTGGCTGAGGTATTTCTGGGGCTGTGGCTATGATATATCCCCACCCAGTCCAAGTTAGTAGCTTCTTCCATATTTTCTGGTAAGATAAGATATCTCAGGTTTACCTTGAAAATTTCCTACCCCCAACCTGTAATCAGCCAATTCTCCAAGGAGCCAGGATTCCTTTAGTGGGAAATGATATTTAGGGACCACAATTTGGTGCCTGGGTGCTCAATCCTATTAGGTTGGTTTTTTCCCCCCTAAGGAAAAAATAATTTTCCAGCTAGAATTCTATATCCAGCGAAGCTATTCTAGTTATGAAGACAAGTGATATTTTTAGATCTGCAAGAATTCAGAAAATTTACCATCCTTTAACCATTTATAGGCGACATGTCACACAGCAAAGAATCGACCAAGAAAGAGGAAGATTTGAGATGTAGGAAATAGTGGAGCCAGTCCAGGAGAAAGCTGTCTCGGAAAACAACTATACATCAGTCCAGTTGGAGCATGAGGATCGGGAGCTTCAGGAATTAGGTCTCTGTGGAATGGGGGAATCCAGCAGAGTTGAAAATATGCCTGAGAGGCTGGACATGGAAGAGCAGAGCTATGGCGAAAGGCGGACCTGAAGATCAAAAGGGACCTCAGCTGGGAAGGCCAGCATGGTGCATCTCAGGGCCATGAAGTAAACTCTTTTCGGACAAGAACTGGGTTGGGGAGGAACCAGGATCTTGTTTCCACCTTGAGACACAGACTGAATGCAGACGCCCCTTACCATAACCGGCAGCCACAGTGGCCACTGTGAGGCTCTGTGCAGTTTTTGTTTTGTATTTTTTTTTATAAGTTATGTCTTTAATTTTATCTGACTAGCCTGAACATATTTATTTAGGTTCTTGCCACATCGTTCCATAAGCTTAATTTGTATCATGCTTTGGTAAATTTGTTGACTGCCCTTCTTGGCACTAGATCTCTTCATATTTTGGAAGCTTACTTTGCAAGCAGGCTCATGTTGAGTAGGAGGGTTTTTCTTTGTTTCTTTGGGTCATGTTTGGGTTTCATTCTCTCTCTCCCCCTGTCCAGAAGTCCAGCAGTTGTTGGTTACCTCCATGGTAACCGAGAAATGTGATAACAGTGCTCTGAGGTTGCTGCTCCAGGAGGACACCAGGCACACTGCGGCCCAGGGAAGGAGGCCTCCTGGTCAGGAAGCTGTCTCTCACTCAGTCCCCTTAGCCCGTCTCCCTAGGTCCTCAGCTCCCTGTAATCCACAGTCCCCAGCAGCAGGTGGGCAGCCCTCGTTCCCAGCTCTGTTTCACCCTGTGAACCTTCCTCGGGTCCTCTTCTCACCAGAAGGCTTTACATTGTCCTTTCCCCCCAGAGCTGAGCCCCCAACACCTCCTGCTCACTTCCAAACCTAGAGCCCACGAGGCCTTTTCTCTCACCGCTCACATTGCTTCTGCTCATTTTT